AAGTTGTTTTATGTTATTGATACCTGTGGTCTTAGGGAATTAGGCTGAATTATTTTTTTAAAATAATTCAGCCCAATTCCAATCTTTATTGGAATTGCGCTGAATTATTTTAAATAAATAAAAAAGGTAGGTGAGAATTAAGTTAAAGCAAGATCAAGGAGAATCTCTATTTCCATATTTTTCTACTTATCAGCTTTTTTTAACTTTCTTTAAATTTGATTAAAGTTTGTTAAGGTTATTAATTTTTATTTTCTTTATTTAAAAGATTTAATTTTATAATCTGTATCATAGTAATATTTTTATCTTGTAATTTGATTTAAATTAATCAATTAAACAACTAAGCAAAATAATTATCAGATTTTGGAATATACTATAAGAACCTTAAACTAAAAAATATCTTTATATACATATTAATAATATGTATATAAATATATTTTTTAGTTTGAGGTCCTTTTAGTATATTCCAAAATCTGATATATATATGTCATATATATGTATATATATGTCATATATATGTATATATATGTCATATATATGTATATATATGTCATATATATGTATATATATGTCATGTATATATACATATATATATATATATATATTTTTTTTTTTAATTTTAATTCACCTCCTCAAGGCCGAGAAGGCCACTACAGATGAGGAGGCTACTTATTTGTGGCTATAACCCTCTCTCAACTCTATAACTCCGAAACACGAACCTTGATGAACAAGGTCGCTGCGCGGAGAAACGAGTTGAGCGCGGTACTACCAGGGACGTGGTGAGGATCGAACTCCAAACCACTCGTTTATGAAGCGAGCGCTCTACCACTACACCACTACCGCATAATATATATATATATATATATATATATATATATATATATATATGTCATGTATATATACATATATATATATATATATATGTCATGTATATATACATATATATATATATATATATATATATATATATATATATATATATATATATATTATATATATATATATATATATATATATATATATGTATGTATGTATATATATATATATATATATATATATATATATATATATATATATATATATATATATATATATATATATATATATATGTATGTATGTATGTATATATATATATATATATATATATATATATATATATATATATATATATATATATATATATATATATATATATATATATACCTTGTATATACAAATTTTGTATACAAATACTTTGTACAAATACAAGTAAATTAAACAAAAGTAACAATTCATAATATAAAATTGGTTTATAAAGGCTAAAATCAGATTATCAGTTATAAAATAGGATATTAAAAAAAAAAAAAAAAAAATTGTTGTTACTAACCCCTGTTCTTAGTAATATCCTAGGTTAATATATTTTTAATTAATTTATGTTAATTTAATAATAAATTCTAAAAACAAAGCAAAAATCATTCACAGTTATTATTAAATTATTATTAAATGCGCTCTTCTCTTTTATTCACATCGATATTATGTAGAGTTCTTGAAAGTATTTAAAAAAATAAACTTATGGAGAACACAACCATGTGATCTCTTTATATCAACATAGTTTTATTAAAAAAAAAGTTATGCACAACTAATTGATTAGAAGTGTTAGATCATGTAACAAATGGAATTAATAAATAAATAACTGTGGATTACAAATTTCTAGACTTGACTAATGTGTTTGATAAAGTACCACATATAAAATTGCTAGAAAATTTTGAAGGCAATAAAATGTCTGGTAAATTTTTGCTTTGGAATGAAAATTTTCTTACAAAAGAATGCAACTAGTCATCATAGGTGATTGTAAATCAGAATGAAAGTGAAAGTGAAAATGGAACACTGCAGATAACATACTAGATGCCAGTGGAATACTGCAGGTAGGATACAGGACGCCAAATCATATTAAAATACCTGTGTAAATCTATGCCGACAACACAAAACTACTTCAATCAATAAAATCATTATAAGACTGTCATAGTTTACAAAATACACTAAACAACAATATTGATAAATGGTTGAAACAGTTTTTTTCAGTTATAAAAAATGTGAAGTATTATGGAATAAAATTTAAACTTCAACTATAAAATATATTTGGTTTTTAACAACCCAATCTCTTTATCAACATTGATAAAAAGAATGTGTGAAACAAAAAGGTCTTGGTGTTATAATATCATGTGATTTAAAATCTAAACAGTAAGTAATTGCTGCTTCTTTAAAAGTCTACAAAGTATTGAAAAAATTGACAAAAAATTTTTTTGATATAGTTTACAAAGGATACGTCTAACAAAATCTCAATTATTCTATTCAAGTTTGGAATCTGCATTTTCAATACGGTATTGAGACACTTTGAAAAGTGCAACAAAAAGCTACAAAATTTGTTTCAAATATTTTGATTTATTAACAATTTATATTGGTTTTAATAAGTTTTTCAAAATAAACTTGTATAATAAACTTATAAGATAAGTAATAATAAATATGATAAATCTGGAATATTGGTTAAAAACAATTAAATTCAGTGCCCTTTAATTGTTAATTATTTGAAAACTACTCAACAGATTTTGTTATTTTTTAGAAAAGTAAAGCTAATTGAATTATTTATGTTTCAATAACTTTTTACCTTTTTATTGGATACTGGATGTCCAATAAAAAATATCTTTAAGGACCGAAACTAAATATTTTTGCAAGTAATCATTTGTTAAATCTTCATTATGCTTTGACTTTTTTTGAAGACACTATCCATTTTGTTTCAAAATATTTTTTATTTAAAGCTAATTTCTTGCTTTTCAATAAGGTTTTCAATAAGTTATAATTGACCAATAACTTTCAATAATCTACTGCACAGAACAATTTGAAGGGTTTTCTTCTTTAGGTACAAATTTCAATTTTTTTTGATTTAAAAGTTTGTATTGCTTTTTTAAACCATGAGTTTTTTAATTTCTCTATTAATAGATTTCTTTTTTCTAATTCCAGTGTCTCTTTCAAAAGATTAAGTCTTTTTACATCGTTGCAAAATAAATCCAACTGAGGATCAAGAAACTCTCATCAATTTTGAAATGTCTTCTTGAGACAATGAAAGTGACAAATATTAAAATAAAACTTTTTTTCATTTTAATATTTGTTCACTTGTTTTAATCTGATAACAATTAATCACTACTTGTTACCATTACAATTAAAAAAGCATTAGTTTTTGAGTAACTAACCATTGAAGAGTGCTGAATTTTATTGTGTTCAATCGATACATTATATTTAATTAAATATTAATCATAATTTAATTAATCATAACAAATAAAATCTAGTTTAAATTTTACAAATTTTTTTATTCCAACAGATTAATAAAATTAAAATTGAAAAAAAGTTTATTTTCAAAAAATAAGTACAAAAAAATATTTTGCAGTAATAAAGTACTTTGATTAAGGTTTATTGACAAATAAAATAAAATTTAAATTAATTGGTTTATTGACAGTATAAGTTACCAATATGAGTTATTAGGAAAAATAAACTTTCAAATAGTATTCTGTCTGTATTTATGGTGGTAGCCATTGATGAAGACTCATGCAGAGGGGCTCATGTATTCCTACATCAGAAATCATTTAAAAGTTTAAGATTATTAAACAGCTGAACAATAAAGTGTGTGCTAACATTGTAACAGAACAAGTTTTCAATGAAAACTCCAAATTCATTCATTCTCTGATTAGTTAAATCAACTTGCAATTGAAGTTAAAAGTTTAATTGAAGTTGAAGTTATATATAAAATAATTAACATAATTATACTATTACATGAATTAATCTACATAACGTATTATATTAAGTTTGCTAATTTCAACTACCTACTACATAATATAAAAACAACATAATTACAATGTAGCAAAAGATAATTGACAATTATTTCATTAATTACATAAAATAACCTAATTTAAGAATAATATAGTTACTATGTAACTTAATGTAATTTACTATGTAATTTAATTATATTAAAATATTCAAATTTTCAAAATTAAGATATTTTTTATGAATTTTTTTTTCACTGCATAATAAATTATATTTAATAAAAATTAAAGTTACATAGTTGTATTTAACAAAAATTGAAGATACACGTAGTTGTAAAAATTAGTCAAAATTTAAGTTACGTGGTTATACTAAAAAATAAAAGTTTAAGCTACGTAGTTGTAGAAATAAAAAAAAATAATAAAAAAAAGTCTTTGCTTGTTTGCCCCCTTAAAATTTTTCAAAAAATACACACTTTCTAATTAAATTTTTATTTCATTTTAAACATTAATCTTTATGTAATAACAAGTAAAGGAGGTTTAAAAACTGCATAAATTAATATTATTATGTTCTTTTTTAGAAAATCAATTTTTTAAAAAAGAACAATAATACTATTTTATGCAGTTTTTTAATTTTATTATTATCATAGGCGGGCACCCATGCATGTGTGTGCATAGAGGGAAACTATACCCTCTACTCCCTATACCATACATCTTTTTATGTTGACAAACTAGAATCTTCAGTTGGTTAATTGTGATAAATTAGAAAATCAAAGTACATACTTTTAAATTGAACCCTCAACCCCCCCCCCCCCCATACTTTTTTAGAAAATCAATTTTCTAAAAAAGAACAAAATTACTTATTTATGCAGTTTTTTAATTTTATAATTGTTATTAGTTTTTTTAGTTTCTTTCTTTTAAAGAGTAAAAATTTTACATTATACCAACAGTGTATAATCAATTATTTTAGAAAAAATATAATACATTTTTTTTTCTTGTTAAGAGTTTTGACTATAAAACAGTGAGGAAAGACAGATCTTTTTTTTTCTATTTATTGTAACGTTTTTCTATTTATTGAAACGTTAAAAACAAAAAACAAAAAAGATAGTAATATCCATTATTTTCGGTTCTCGAATTATGGTATTATTTATTACCTTGCATCCAAACATTAATTCGAATAATGTATAAATGTGTTAATTGATTTTGTTGTAGGTGTTAGGATTTGTACAAAATATGAGCGTATTTGTTTGTCCAAATTGTTCTTCTACAACACATATATTTGGTGACAATGGTACTCAGAAGTTAGCTAGTGAAATGGGTGTTGATATTTTAGGTTATTTAAGCTTTTTTTATTTTTTATTGCTCTAAATAATGTTTTTTTTTAGTTATTTACATTATTTATGTAATTATTTTGATTATTGACATGAATAGTTTTTAATAACTAAGTTTGTATTTCTAATTTACAAATTTAAAGGAGATGTTCCATTACATTTGAGTGTTCGAGAAAGTTGCGATCAAGGTATTCCTATTGTATTTTCAAGACCTGAATCACCTGAGGTATTTAGAAATTTTTTTGCTTTTTTAACTATTGTTTTTAATTAATTAAATACCTTATTGCTTTTAAACATGGTTTTGGAAATTTTAAAAATATAAAGGCACTTTTTTCTTTGAGATAATGTTGTGTGACAACATTATCTCAAAGAAAAAGATAGGTTTGTACTCCGTTGACTATTAAAAATTCATCACACTAGACATACCTTTACAATGGTTTTAGAAGTGAGTAAATCCTGTGTAAAAACAGAATTTTAACCGTGTTAATAACGTATTCTACTTTTTATGAGATTTCTAAAATTAAAACGAATAGTCATTAAATTTAAAACAACCAGTCATTAAATTTAAAAGAGCTAATCATTAAATTCGACCTAGGTAATCATCCTAATTCAAATATATTCTTTAATAAATTATATATAGCAGTTATAAAATAAAGTTATAAGTATTAGTATAAATTATAATTTTTTGGACATTATTTTTCTCACACCTCATTTATTTATATTTTTAGTTATAATATTAATAAAAAAAACCTTTGAGAGAATCCAATTGTTTAAAATAAAAATATTGTCACTGTTTTGATGCTAAAGTCACTGTTTTGATGCTAAAGTCACTGTTTTGATGCTAAAGTCACTGTTTTGATGCTTAAGTCACTGTTTTGATGCTAATTTATTGCATCGTGAAAATAAGTTCTGCGAATAATATTTCAGCATGAGTATCTTCCATCAAAAATTTATTCTTTTAAAGTTGTCCATATTTAGAAAATCTTATTGAATGAGATAGTTGAGCCAAAAAAAACTCTCAAAAAATTTAACTGGATAAAAGCTGTCACCAAAAAAATAAAACTGGATAAAAGCTGTCATATTCTTTTATCTGTTTAATCCGAGCTAAGATTTTTAGTATTTTATACTTTTTTACATTTTTTTTATTACATTTTAAGAGCTACATGAAGATTTAAGCTTCAAGAGGCAATTTAATCGTAATGTGGGTCAAGGTTTAGATATTTTAAACTTTGAACTCCCACTATAGAGGTTAAATAGAAATGTTTGAAAGCCTCAATCTGCATCCTTCTAGATTAAATTATAATAAAGTTTCATGCTCTAATAAACGTTGCTTAGCCACCATATAATATAATATTATAATGTAGACGAGTAAAAACTTGTATTAATTACTAGAAAAAAAGAATAAAAAAAGTGTAATATTTATTATTAATGTTTATTCTTTAGAGTCGTGTTTACAAGGAAATTGCCTTAAAGATAGTTGCTGAGTTTCCAATCTAAATTGTGGATTACAGTATATCTTGAGCCTAAAGAACTTTTTACGGCACTTTATTATAACGCTTTAGTCACATAAATTGTATATTAGCTTCATAAAGTTTTATAAAGGTAATATAAAACTATGTAAATACAAGTATAAAAATGAGTAAATTTACTTTTTTTACGAAATTTTAAACGAAAATTTGTAAAGACTTTTTCAAAAAAATACTAGAAAGGTAAAAGAAAAAAAAAATATTGGAATTTATTTATATTTTTTATTTTATGAATTAAAAATCAATGAATAAAAAAACCAACTGAATATTTAAAAATTGTTTTTAAGATTTTTGTGTTAGGTTGCCAGGTGATGCAGAAACTCGCTCTTTTTCGAAATACATCGTAGAAAAACAGTTATTAATGAATAAGCTGAACAGAAAAATCAAATAAATCGCTTAGGGGGCATCCATAAAGTACGTACGCAGTAAAGCCACTGATTTAAGACCCTTTTTCTCCCCTTGTACACACTTGAATGGTACTAACGTTCACTCCCTCCCTGAGCTCTTAACCTCTACGTATGTACGCATTATTTATTACAAGCTGCGTGTGTACTTATTTGAAGAACCTAAATTTGGGAAGTTAAAATTGACCTAAATGAGGGAAGTTACTTCAAGTAAGAAAAGAAACAATTAAAAAATACATTCAAATAATTTCGGCGTAATGATAACTAGACCATCCAACTTGACTATTCGAAAATATTTGCATGTTTTTTGACTATTTGATATTCGAATATTTTTTCCAAATATTCGAATAATTTCAAAAATGTAAATCACAGTAAGCTTTGAAAAAAGTACGGTTAATTTCTCTCTTCTTACAAGAAAAAACAATTAAACCCTGAAATAAAAAACAAATCTAAGAATTTTTATATAGAATATAGCCTTGACATGGGAAAATTGCATTTTTGTATGGTTTTAATTTTGTGCGACATTATTTTTGTTAGTTATTAGAAAGCAGTCGGTTATTTAAATTGTTTAGCAAATATTCGTAAATTTTATTGTAAAAATTCATTTCATTTAAAATAATAAAAACAATATAATCAATAATTTTTAATAATACAATTTGTGCTTGCATACTTCTATAATAATAATTATAATAAGAATAATAATAATACTTCAGGTAAAATAAAATTTGTTAGATTTTCTTTCATACATATTTACAGCTTTGGTTTTTTTAGCCATGTCAAAAAAATCCGAGGTATGGAAGTTTTTTAAGAAAGATGAAAAAAAATTTGGTGAAGCCACATGTGGTACGTGCAACACGAACATTGGATGGAAAAGTTCAACCACTGCTATGATTAACCATTTAAAGCTACGACACAACATATTGATATCTAAATCGGTATCGATGGAGAAAATAATATTCCTAAGAAAAAACAAAAAACTGAAACAAGTACTATTTGGCAATTTGTAAAAAAAGAATCTTTAAATAAAATATTGTCAAAAGTCGCAGCTGTTGATGGAATGGCGATCACAGCAGTTAGTAAATCTCAAGCTATAGCTGGTTACGTGCAACAAAAAGGTTATAAAATGCCAAAAAGTCCGACAACTATTTCAAAATGCATCAACAGCTTTTATAAAGAAAAATTTATTGAGCTGCGGGACAAATTTCAAAAATTAAAAACAGCAAATCGTAAATTTGCTATTACAGTGGATGAATGGACAGATTGCACTATTTTACGTTATGTAAACGTAACAGCTCATGTACTTGGAATAAACTCAAATACAATTGAAAGCCATGTTTTGGGTTTGACGGAAATAATTAAGCAGAGAAATGCTGAAACAATTAAACATTAAGATGAAGCTAAGTTGGCAGACTTTGGGATTCTCTTAAAAAATGATGTTATTGCATCAACTAACGACGTAGCAGCCGTAATGAAAAAATATGGCAATATATTAGGTGTATTAAATCAACTTTGCCATAATCACGCGCTCCATTTAGCTGCCATGGATTATTTTTATATAAAAAATGTTATTCCCAATGAAGTGTTTGACGATACCGAAGAGTTTGCTGATGAAGAAATGGAAGAAGAAAATTCCATAGAAGATCAGTGCTCTGAATACAATTTGGAGTTTATTAACGAAATTGAAAATGTAATGACATTGGATATTGATTTTGACCAAATTATTAACAGGTTAAAAGGTGTTATAAGAATGTTTCGGCTACAAAGCATTCTATTTTGCAACAAAATATAGCTCAAAAAATGGGGGAAAAACTTAAGTTAAAATTAGACATGAAAACTCGATGGAGTTCTTTGAGTGTAATGATTCGACGTTTTTTAATTCTATCAGAATGTATTAACAAATCCTTAATCGAATTGAATTTTGATCCAATTGCTGAAAATGATATTTGTGCGCTACAAAACCTTGTTGACGTTCTCGCACCAGTTGAAACTGCTGTTACTGAATTGAGTAAAAATGATGCAAATCTCATAACAGCTGAAGGAGTATACAAATTTTTGTTTGAAAAGTTGCAACCAATGCAAACAGATATAGCAAAAAAACTTATATATGCTATCCAAAAAAGGATAGATGAAAGAAGAGATCCAGTTTTAATGACACTAATCATTTACCTACAGAGTGGAAATATACCAAGCTCCAACGATTATTTTAAATATTCGTCAAAAAATGCAGCAATTTCATTCGCTATTAAAACTATGGAACAAATATATCCACAAATGTTCATAGAAGAGCATATTAATAGTGATTCTACCTCATCTTCATCTGATGAAGATGATTTAATAGAATTAACACCACAAGTTGGACTGCAAAAAGAACTCCAAAAAGAACTGCAAAAAAAACTCCAAAAAGAACTGCAAAAAGAACTCCAAAATGCAATAAGTTCTATTACAGCTCCAAAAAACTGTCATGTTCGCAATACCAGGCAAATTGATAAATATAATGAACTAAAGAAAGCATTTCATCAGTTTGATTCTTTCAAAAAACGATCGGATACGCTGGACGTTTTGTATAATGCTCTTATAACAATACGGCCTACTTCAACAACTTCTGAAAGAGTATTCTCAACAGCAGGCGCAATCAAAACAAAAAGACGAACCAGTTTAAATCATGAAACATTTAATTCAATTTTATTTTTAAAATATATGTTTTTAGAAAAAAAATAATGTTTTAAATAATAAAATAGTTCAAAACTAAACGCTTTTCTTTATTAAAATATAACTATTTTTCTTTTTGTGATTATGTCTTTACACTTTTGATAAATTATTCGAGTATTCGATTACTCGAATATTTTAAGATTTTTCTATTTGATATTCGAATAGTTGAAAAGCTCGAATATTTGGATGGTCTAATGATAACGTTTAAAACTATTTAAATTAAAAAATATAAAACAACAAAGCAATATTTATGGCGGGTTGTTTTGTTAATATAAAATGTTTTTATTAATATAATATCTTATAAAACAATATGATATAATATTATATAAATTTTGACATATTTTTATACAGTTATACTATTATACATTAAAAAAAAAAACGCATTTACATAGACAATAAAACATTAAGGGGGAAAAACCGTCAAAAAATTATTTTCTAAAGTAAAGCATTAATAAAGTTATTACATGTTCTAAATAAAAGTATACTAAATGTTAAGATCTATCATAAAAAATGGCATTCCGTTGCAATGGCAATACGGTTACTAAGGGAAAATGTCAAATTAGTCTCTTCACCCTGGCAAATATTGCAATCAATTAGAATGATACTTTGAGCTGAATTTTTTCTAACTTATAGTTAAAAGATAGATCTATGCAATAAGCAGACAGTTTTTGAAAATAACTTTTCTGTCAGGTGATAGGCCTGTTGAATTTCGGCAAAAATTTTAAGCACAATAATGATAGATGTTTTTTTTTAATTTCTTTAGTTTAAAAAACGTTTTTAAAAAGTTGTCTGTTCATTGCATACATTATTATGAGAGGAATACTCCTGAAAATTTCATTAAAATCGGTCAAGCGGTTCTCAAGATACTTCTGCTGGGAGATTAAAAATACGCGTTCTGAGAAAAATGCCAAATAAGTTGAAATTGTGATAAAAAACATTATATAATAACAAAGATACAAAAAATATAGTATAAAAAAAGCATACTGATTGTATTTTTTATTCACAAACACCAGCCCCATACAATTTCCCTTCTTTCTGTTCAACTTTTTTAAGTCAAATTTTTTATGCTTGTGGCTTGTTAAAATCTTCCTTTGTTTTTTTGATGGTGTCTTGATTTTTATACTCTGACATCGTAACTCTTTTCTGGTTCAGGTAATTGCATCCAGAAATGGTATGTTGCCCTGGTATCATATTAAGTCTTTCAAATATAAGTATATTAGACTTTAATCCTATATTAAAGACACCAATAGCATCATAAAGTCCAAATTTCAATTGCGTAAGCGAAACATACTTTGACTTAGGTATTCTGAACCATATCATTGCATTAAAACTTTTCATTTCGATTCTGTGTTCATCCATGAAGCAAACGATTTAAATAAGCAACTGATGTTAGTTCTACATAAATGGGCTTTAACTTGTGTATAATTTCAATAGGAAGACCTGGTCCGGGTTTATACTCTTCGGTTCCATTAGCTTTTATCTCAATTGTATTTAAACTATCTTTTCCTGTGGGACAATGCGGATAATGCCAATTTTTTTTGCTTGAAGATGCTACATGAAATAAGCTAGCCAAAGCTGAAGATCTCATACCTTCAAGATTGCCACAATTTTGTCTAATGCAAATACCAAAATAATTTTTCAACCGATTAATTGTAGCATTTGTTAAACCGCCTTTACCATCTAAACCCTTGACTTGTTTTTTTAATTGTCTATAACGAGATCCAATGCGCTTTTGAAAATGTCCGATACAATTTAGTTTAATTACTTCAATACCCTTGTATGTGTTTTTGACAGAAGCGTAGCTTTTGCTATCACCATTACCCAAGTATTCTGTGTATCGTAAATTAAATTTTTGTAAAGAGCGATTAAATATCTTTATTGCCCCAACTGTTTCCATTCCACCGGCTGATCCTTCATAGTTTTTATTGCAAATGTGTGATTTTTTTGCTGTTGGCTGCTTTGAATTAATAACATATTGATTTTTGTTACATATTTTACACTTTCTAAATAATGCTTCAACATCTAAAACCTTCCCATTTTTAATTGATAATGCTGCCGTCAAACCCTGCTACATTTTTTCATGTGTCAAAGTTTAACTTGAAACCACAAACAGAATTTAATGATAAATTTGATGCATATCCTTAGCAAGACTTTTTATTTTCGCTTAACGGCAACTGTGATGGTCGCAAACATTCTGGACACCCAAGTTTATCAAAAATGGAAGCAAGAATTTCTAAATCAATAAACCTGTAGCCACTGACACATTTTGAGTTTCCATTTGGAACCATTACTTGCTTTACTTTTTTTTTTGATGCACTTTTAAATACACTTTTACTTTCAATATTTGCATAGTCTACCATATTTACATCATTACTATTAACATTATTTACACCAATATTTACACTTTTTTCTAGCTTTCTTAAACCAGAAAATATACATTTACGTTTTCGAAGACGTTTAGTAGAAGATTTACTATATCACTATTATATTCTGTTTAAGACTTGTCCATTTTCTTTAATTATATAGAAAGCTTGAGTTGATTGTGTAGAAGCTTGAAAAAGTGACTAATTTTAGCACTATAAGGCAAATATGTGGTTTTAAAGTATGGCTTTAGAGATAATGGCAAGCATTTGAAAAAAAAAAAAAAAAAAGAAAACGGAAAAAAAGCTATACTAGATGTGTTTTATTGACAGTTCTTCTGTAACTTGGGGCGTTGCTAGGTAATTTTGAACTCAGGTGGTTGTACAAAAATGTCATTTATTGATATAAAAAATAGCGATTTTCGAATAAGATTTTTACCGTTTGATTATTAATAAATTTACTTTTAATATATCTGGAAAAAAAAAATCAAAAAAAATTTTTTTTTTGAAAGGTTTTCCCTCTTAAGAAAAAGCACCTTTACATAGACAATAAAACACGGCTCGTGGTTTCTGAGTTTAGAATCCTAATATTAATTGATTGATTTAAATTTATTAAAACAGTAATACATGTTCTAAAAAACCCTCAGGTCCAAAAAAATGATAGAACTCTGACAGCCTGCCCCACAATAATATAAAATAATATACTAGAAAGGTTGCAAAAATAAGAAATATAGTATAACTATGACGAAATCTGTTACATGTATATAGTATAACTAAAACGAAATCTGTTATACGAATTGCAGTTAAAAAGAACAGTATTTCTTTAAAATTGATATTATTGACATTTACGAGAGAGAAAGAATACTTAAGAGAATAGTAAGAAAGATTATCAAGTTGACACTTTATTTTGCGTAACATATGTTTATAACCTCGAGTATAAATCGTGACGTTAGAATAATATGGTTCAATAACGTTAAAATAATATGGTTCAATAACGTTAAAATAACAATAACGTTAGAATAATATGATTCATCCTTTTTGTAACGTTGAAAAAATTTAACAAAACTTGTAATACTCTCTTAGATTTTTAAAATTAAAAGTAAAAATTTGTTAAATTCGTTAAATTAAAAGGTCAAAATAAACAGTTTTTACATTTAGAATAACGCAAACTACCTAGATGAAGGAGTCCTATTAACAATCTGATGACTTGCAGATTTCAAATTAAAAAACACTCTGAAGTTAAATCTAAGGTTTGTTTACAATTTTAGGTCAAGCTATCAACTCATTGGTCATTAGCATGCAAATGTGTCATTTGCGAAATAGCAAAACTCAAAGGAAAGTATCCATGGTGCATGAGTTGCAAAGAAAAAAGTTGCAATAAGTGTTTGTCAGTACTTAAACGTAAACTCCCTCACAATTGTATATCTGGACGTCGGCATGAAAGTTTGCAAATCATAGCTGCTACTCATACAGTTGCAGCCATGATTCATAAACTTGAAATTTTGAAATCATTAATGTAAAGATGGATTATTCCTTACCCATCAAAAAGTGCTTCACAGACATCGTGATGGATGAGGAATTCATATTTCACATTCATTTATCCTTTACCACTTTATTTTATAATATTTATCATTTATCACTATTCTCTTTTACAGAATACTATCAAACTTAAAAGAGTCAAAGCAACAAAGATAACAAATGGGAAACTGCAAATGATGATTGTCTCACAACACAACAGGTAACTATTAAAATGATGAATTCTTGATGTTGCCAGAAAAATCACGATTCTAATCCTGACCTGAAATTCTATACTAAAATGATCATAACCCTGACCTTTCATGATAATTAAATTAATAACTCTGTGAGACTTGTTTACAGAATTGATGTATTTCAAAATATAATTCTAGGAATTCCTAAGTAATGTTACAAAAGATTGTCCAGAATCTAATTTTTTAACCTAATGACGCTCAACATAATGCACATGGATTTTTCTGAAGAAAAAAAAAAAATGTAATTTTTAGTTTTTTATATTAAAATCTATAAAAATATTATCTAAAATATTTATTTTTAAATTACGTCAAAATAATGTTTTACATTATATCATATTAAAATTAAGTGTACAATTTTTCTAAAATCATACACACACACACACACACAAATCGAGATTAGTTTATCGGTTAAAATCCTCGGTGATATCTCGTTTATCGATTAAAATTCTCAATCAAGTAATTCTCGGATTTGGTTAAGTTATCGGAACTTAAGGTCTATAAGCTGAGCACAATTTATACCACGGCATGTTGCTTTAGATGGACGAACCATCAAACCATGTAGTGGTTTGCTGAACAGATATTATATAAAATAGACTTAAAAATGGGGAAAGATGAAAAAATAAAATCAATATGCTAATTTACTCACCAAGAAAAATACTTTTTCCCTTCCACGGTACCGTCATTCTTACCATCTAAAAAAAGCAACCATTAATAAAAACCTTCAAACCTATAGAAATTTTTATTATCTGAAATGTTAAAAAATGTTTGGGTGAAACATTTATAAAGATTCATTCAGAAGCACTTTTTCAATTTAAGAAGACAACACAGTTTGCAGGTGCTGTGCCCGACACAGCGCCTATTATAAATAAAAAAAACTAAAAAAACGCTCATTTTCTGAAATTATTTCTAAAATAATTTCAGAAAATGAGTTGTAAAATAAATTCAGAAAATACTTTTAAGATCATTGAAGTATGAATTGCTACAGAAGTAGTTTTATCAAAAACATACATTGTTATTTCTGGTACTTTATGCAAACCATCAAGAGCAAAGTCTTTTTCATCAATACTGTGAAAAGTGATTTAATTTCTTCACCATATTAGAATTGAATCTTAATGTTTTCATATTAATGACATCTTATGCACGCACTACATTTTCTAAATTTTCTTATAATTTTTTTCACAACTGACCCACTACTGAAAAACATCAAATCAAAAAAGCATTTTTTTAAAATTAGATCTTTTTACTTTATTTTAACCCTAAACTTTGAAACACAAACCTTGTTAAACAAAATCACTGTGTGGAGAAACAGGTTGAGCAAGGTACATCCAGAGATATACGATACATTTGAACGTTGAACATCTTGATTGTGACCCAAGTGTTTTAATAGTGTTCTTCAAATGTTCTATTACCACATAGTGGTCTACTACCGCTATTCTAAGTGTTTATCTTTGTTTTTTGTTTATATTAATAAACTTCTCACTTTACTAGTTTATCCTGTCACTAGTTCACTAGTTTATCCTGTCAGATAAAACGTTTAAACCACTTATACTCCATTATGTTCTCATACCTTGCAAATATTTAATTACACCTCAACTATTTAATTACACCTTAACTACTTTCTTCTATTTTAATTTTCCTCTTTTTTTTTTTAAAATTTTCTTAGTAACTGCAAGTCTAAATATCAATAATATTTTTAGAACTTATGCTTTTTAACTCTTATTTTTGATTTATCATTTAGTTGAACAAATAAAAAATAAATAATATAAATTCAAGTTCAATTTGGACAGTGGCATCTAATCTCCATTACATCTAGTAAAAAAATTAATCTTTGATATTAATTCTAAAGAATTAATATCAAAGATGTATAAGTAAATATAAAAATATTACTTAAAAAGTAAATATGATAAAGACAAATAAAATGAAAAAAGGCAAATAAAATGTTAAAGGCAAATAAAATGTAAAAGGCAAATAAAATAATAAAGACAAATAAAAAGAAAAATTTACCTTAAAAAAATATACATATTTTATAAAACTCACTTGGTTTACGCAATTCAACACCTAACCATATGTCATCTGCAAAGTCTACACGTCCAATGAATCGGACAACTCCCATTTCATTGTTAACAAAAACACTCATTCCCTAAAAAAACAGTTGTTAAGTTCAAACGCCTTATAATACTACATAAACATGTAATACTAAATATAAACATCATAATTGCTAAATAACAAAACAACATAATAAGTAATAGCTAGAAACTTGATCAAAGTTTTGGAATTTTAGCTAATAACAAGTTTATTTCTTGTTATAAAAATGAATGAACAACAAGCAGTTGAACGTTTCTATTTTAAAAAACGTTAGATTTGTATGCGGTTTATTGCAATATTTCAAGGATTCATCGGAATATTCCAAACCCAGAATTTAAATTTTGCTATAGAGTTTAAAGTTTTTTTAAACTCCAAGTTTAAATGGAGGAATAAAAAATAAATAAGAGGAATAAAAAATGTAAACAAAAAAATCATCAAAATTTTAAATGAAAAATTAAAAACTAAAAGTAAACATAAAAAATACATTAAAAAAGTTACATTAAAAGATAGAATTAAAAAAATATTGTTTGTATTTAACTTTTTTGAAGTCATGGAGGATACTATTTGTGTCAATACTGGTGTTTAAAACGCTTTTATGTGTTTAAAACACCCACAGTATTATGTGCAGAATTTAACCTGGAAAATATTTAGCAAGTATGTAGAAAAATTTTGAATGTTTTTTCCCCTTTTGTAAAGCAACTGCTGACCAATTAAATTCTTTCATTGGAAAAAGCAAAAAACTGCTTAGTTGACATTTTCCCAACACACTGTAACCAAAGTCTAATTACTAACAAAAAATAGTCTCCCAAATAACAAAAAACTGCCATTTTGACTTATTTCTTTAAGCAAAGGAGGTTATTAGTCAGTAATTTATTGATTACTAGTAATTGACTTTTAACAATCACAAAATACTTATTTTTAATGTCTACAATGATCTTTCTTAATGTCTACAATGCTTTTTCATGATCAATTTAAATAAGATTGAGCTAGTGATTTCATCTCAATTTAACTAGTATATTTCAAATAAGGGTACGATTTTTCTCTAACAGTTTTTAGTGATATAGGTGCCTTCAATTTTTAATTCAATTAAAAAATTTTTTTGGGACATTAAAAAAAATTTTCTTGTTTAAAAGATGGCTTAATTCAGAATGGTTTTTCTATATTTATGGCAAAAATATATTTCAAAAATATAAAAAACCTATATTGAACTTTGCCTTTATTTTAATAAAATTGTGTAATCAGAAAAAACAATGGGTTTTTCCATTGTGAAAAAGGGATGTAATACAATTTGTAACACCCATGATTTAGCAAGAACCTTGAAATCACCATGAAAACTGCTACTTCTGAATTGTAAAAAGAAACAAAATTAACACAGCAAATCAAAGTAGGTGATCATATACTAACTTATCTGCTCAACAACTTCAATTAAAATAAAAAATAAAAAGTGATACAAATAAAAGTGATACAACCCAGCACATCTAAATACTATGATGATCTAAATCTCTGTAAATTTAAACAAAATACATCGTGAAGATTCTCATCCTAACTAAAAATGTAGCCTTTCAGAACCTCAATTATTTAATCAAAAAGAAATAAATATTTAAATGAGAGATTTGAACTTAAAAAACTTCTAAAAATCTAAAATCTCTTTTAAAAGAAAGTTATTTACTTACTCCGGAAAAAGAAATCATTTTTTATTGAGAAAATAACCTATTAGAATTTTTTTCAAGAAAAGGATTTAGTTTCTGTAATGATGTAGGTTTTTTTTACAATATAAGGGTTTTAAAAAATAACAACCTAATAATTTGGATTGTTTTAAAACAGACAAAAAAGAAGTCTGAAGAAAACCTCATCACAATAATGAGTTTGGATCTATATTTATAATCCATATAAATAATGAGTTTGGATCCATAACCATTATTCTTTGCTAACTTCCTGTCATCATGTTGGAGAGCTTCATTTCGCTACATGGCTATCTACATGGCTGTAGTGACAAATAAAACTGTTAAGCTGGAGAACAAAATATTTATATCAAGTATTATATCAAGTATTATAAGATAAAACTGCTTTAATTTAAAATACCTTTTTGCAAAAACAAAATGTATAAGTTTGAAATTTTAAAATAATTTACATTTAGACTTTTGAGAAGTGCAGTGATTATTGTGAACTTGTAGTAAAAAATCAGACCATTAGGTGAAAATTAAAAAAAAAGGAGCTGTTTTACACACCTTAAATTTCATGAAATTCAAGTTGCATTTCTCTAAAATCTGGCAGGTTTTTATTCTGAGTAACAAAATACTCAATGAGATCAATAGAATGGCTGACTAAATTTATTTCTCTTTAGGGCATCATAGCTTTTGATCTGCGACTTTTCTGACTCTGTAATTTTTAAAGTAAAACTTAATTTCTTAAGTTTTGATATTTAGACTTATAATTTAAGATTAATTTATGTCAATATTAACAAAATGCTTAAAAACAATGATTTGCAAAATGGTTTGAAATCAGATGTAAAATACAAAGAAAATAACTCTAAATCAATTTTTTTTTCTAATGGCAGACTCTTCTTAAAATCAGTAATATAATAAAAATTAAATTAATAGAAATAGCACATTGATTTCATCTTGTCAAAAATAAATGTAGTAAGTATTAAGCAATGTCATTTTTTTTAAGCATCTCTGCTTCCAACAAGGCTGCAAGCAACCACTAATTAGTGTTAGAAGTTACTGGAAAAGAAAAGATGATTGTAGAGAAAGATAACGATTGACAGACGACTTGAAAGATAGCAAATTATATGAATCAGGAAAGCAAGACAAAGGAAGTGATTTCCAAAGAACTGATGTTCGAGGAAAAAAACTAGACGAATAAGAGTTTTTGGAGCACTTAGGAACAGTAACAGAAAAAGGATGAGCCCCATGATCTGCCCCAGATATAGCAACAGCATTCCATACAAGGCCGAATTTGAGATTTATAGAGATAGAAAATAGAATCCAGATTAAGAAAGTGTTGAGCTCAATAAAGAGATGCAACTTTAGCAGATGCTAATTTTGCAACGGATTTGATAAATGGTTTCCAAGAAAGATTGAAAGTAAGAGTTAATCCTAGAAGATGAAGGGTAGATGACTCATCGAGTACATTATCATTCATAAATATAGGAAGGTCTAAATTATTGTGATAACGATTGGCTAAAAATCATTGAGTTTTATTTGAATTAAAGTTCACCAGCCACTGTGAACCCCATACTGTAGCAGAAGTGAGATCCTTTTCAAGCTCAAATGCCCCCTGCAAGCAATCAGAGGGAGTTGGCTTCTTATCGTGACAAGAGTAAATGGTAGTATCATCAGCGAACAATGCCACCTTAGATGTGAGAATATCTGGAAGATCGTTAATGTAAATTAAAAAGAGTATAGGGCTAATAGATTGAACCTTGAGAAACCCCTGAGGTTACAGAATAAGAAGAAGAGTGCTAAGTGGAAAGGAAGGATTCAATAATCTTAAAGATGTTTCCAGATACACTGTAAGAAGAAAGCTAATGCAGAAGACCAGCATGCCAAACTTTAACAAACGCTTTAGAAATGCCAAGAGCGATGGACTTTATCTAATGTGCGATAAAACCTATCGGTTATTACTGTTAGCAAATCAGCCGCAGAATGAGAAGATTGAAATCCATATTGGTGATTAGAAAGTAAGTTATTAGATTTAAGATAAGAGATTAAGTGTTAGTTAATTAAAGATTCAAAAACCTTGCTTACGATTAATGGGAAGGTAGTTAGACAAATCAGATCGCTCTCCAGAATTTTTAAAAATAGGGATAACAGATGCTGCTTTCCAGCAGGCTGGAAAACAAAACTCTGATAAGCACTTGTAGAATACTTTTGAAGGGATAGACCACAGCTCTGGAGAACACTTCTGCAAGACTATAACAGGTATGTTGTTTGGGCCACGAGCTGTAGAAGAATTTAAGCAGGAAACCATTTTAGATACAGAAGCTGGAGCGATACGGATGTCAAGCAATGGATCAACCTGTTTGACAGCTATATCAGGTAGAACGCAAATAGTGGCATCAAGAGATGATATTGATGAAAAGTTCTTGGCAAACAATTCAGCTTTGTCTTAAGGTGAGGCGACAAAGTCTGAACCATACAAAAGAGTGGAATTACAGACTTGCCCTTATTATTGATACTATTAAAGATTCTCCAGAAGTCATGATAGCCTAATTTTTGTGATGAAATACGAGATTTCATGATCTGAGAATAGCAAGATTTGGCATTGGACAAAACATTTTTACAATAGTTCAGAGCAGCAATACACAGATGTCTGTTTTCTGGAGAATTGTTTTGCTGATAGATATGGAAGTAATGGTTTTGATTGGCAATTGCAGCAGCACAATGTGAGGAAAACCATGGAGAAGAGTGAGGCATGACCTGGAATCATCGAGTGGGAATAAAAGACTCCATGCCAGCCAGAATCCAAAAAGTTATGTAAGAAGCACATTTGTCAACAGGAAGACAAAAAATTTCTACCCAAGGGCCGCCACAAAAAAACTCACAGAAAGAGTACCAGTCAGCTTTAAGGTAGTTGTAAGATGTACGATGGTAGGGGGATTCTGATGATAAAGAAGAATGAAATAACAGTTTTAGAGAGACCAAACTATGATCGGAAACACCTAAGGGTAAATGTGGAGAAACTGAGCACTGACTAGGATCAGAAACAAGACATAAGTCGAGTAGAAAAGGCAAATGATTTGGGTTGTCTGGAAAGCGAAGACCACGAATATTAGTGAATTATAGGTTTAGCAAACTTAGAGATGAGTGTGGTTTTTTGTGTTTTATAGTTTTTGTTACTTTATTCATTTGTTATTTACTTGTTAGTTACTTTATTCATTTGTTAAAGAACTTGACTCAAAACATAGATAGTACTCAGTAGACTGTTTAATAGCCCGAGCAATTGCCTCATTACTATTAATAAACCCTAAGCCGTAACAAAGGCCTCCAATGTCGTCTTGGCAATGCACACCAAAAGTACAAACAGGGACACCATCCATGCGCAACATGTCAT